AAGCTTTCGTGGGTAAGAACCTCACTTGCCTTGCATCTGAAGAAGTGAGGTTCTTACCCACGAAAGCTTATGCACCCAATACTTCTGTTAGTCTTAAAGGTGCCACAGGAGGACCCTCTGTTGCTTTTTACAGATTTAGATTAAATCTCAGGAAAAACTTCCTTTCTATAAGAGCATCAGGAAAATGGAACAGACTGACAAGGGAGGTTGTGGAAGCTCTTTCACTGGAGGTTTTCAAAAGGAGGATGGACAGCCATCTGTCTTGAATGGTTTAGACCAGAGGTAGGCAACCTATGGCACCCGTGCCATATGCGGCACGCAAGCTGATTTTCAGTGGCACTCACACTGCCCGGGTCCTGGCCACTGGTCGGGAGGGGCTCTGCATTTTAATTTAATTTTAAATGAAGCTTCTTAAACATTTTAAAAACCTTATTTATTTTACATACAACAATAGTTTAGTTATATATTATAGACTTATAGAAAGAGACCTTCTAAAAATGTTAAAATGTATTACTGGCACGCGAAACCTTAAATTAGAGTGAATAAATGAAGACTCGGCACACCATTTCTGAAAGGTTGCTGACCCCTGGTTTAGACACAACAAATTCTGCATCGTGGCAGGGGGTTAAGAGATGATCCTTGCAGTCACTTCTAACCCTATGGTTCTAAGATCTATGAATCTATTACATTTTTTGCTCATATAAAATGTTGCTTTTAATTCCACATTTTTTGTGAAATTATCTAATTATACTCAATAGCAATAGCATGAATATTCAATTTCAAATATAAAAATGAGAATAGTGCTAAAGTTTCTTTGGGAAAAAAACAAAACGATGAAGTGAAATTCTAAATAGCTTCCTTTTCCATCAAAGCACTATTTTCCAACTGCATTTGTCAAAAATTATTTTCTCCACGGCTTCTGCCGAAGCATGATTTCCAGAGCAGATCAAAAAAGTTCACTGGAACAGGTTTCTGTTGGAAAATGCAGTTTTGTCAAAATCAAAATGTTTTGAGGGAATGTGTCAATTCTGATGAAATTTTTGATTGAAATTTTTCAAAATGATTCAAACTCAAAAGGAGGCGTTTTGTTTAATTTCCTCGTTTCATTTCATTGCAACTTCCTTGTTCTGTTTAATTTTTTTATATTATCACAATGAAATGTTTCAATAAGGTTCTTTTGAATATGTCAGAATATGTCAAAATTTTGACTATTTGTCCTGATTCAGGATGAAAACACATTTTGGAATTTCCCAAGGGACAGAAATTCCAATGAGCTCTCAAGATTTGTCTGTGTTTCTGTCAACATCGATAGCGGGGGCCTTGGTGGGGCTTGTCCTGATCTGACACAGAGCAGCCCTGTGGTTGCTGAAAACTAGAAAACGTCCCTTCAGACCAGCCTGAGGTAGAGCAATTCCAGTGACCTCACTTGGAAGGCAGACTCGCATTCCTTTCACTTTATGCCTAGAGTAGCTATTCTAACAGTTATGACCATGTCTAATGTTGATGTTGCTCCAAAGAGTGTGTGGGACACATTTAGGATGGGAATGATTCCCTCTTTGAGATTCCTGGGAACTGTGTGCTGCTTACATGTCCTGCAATGGGATTTGAGCTTAGTGACTCCGCACACATCATCCCCTGTGCACTACCGGGCCTGGAGCCCCTCTCCACATGGCCTCCCTTTGTAGTCTCTCTGCATTGCACAGCCCTAGCACCAGGACATCTGTGCCAATGCCAGAACAGCGCCCAGGAGATGGATTTTATTTCAAACGTGTTTAATTCATGTTGTAAAAGCTGAGACGAACGTACTAGGCACGTGGTGTCTGTGGAACCATTTTGCTTCAGCAGAACAAAGCTATGTAGCAGTTCAATAGAGTTACTGACAGTCGATGCTATATGAAAGTGTATATCTCCCACAAGACCTTGTCAAAACTAGCAAAAGAGTTCATTTGTGCTCAGGAAGCACAGAGATCACACACCTCATGCAAACTCAGCCTGGGCCCTTCCAGTCAAGCTGGGTTCTTTCCATTTCCAAATTATCACTAGTTCTTCAGACTAAATTATGGCCGCGGGGACAGCTGTGGAATCCCGTTGTTTTCAGGGAGGGTGATGCGGTTGTGATTGATTGGATCTGAGTAAACAGTTCTGTTGCTGGTTCTGGCTCACTCAGCCTTGGTTGTATTGGCACTGACAGGAGTGAAAGGCAGTAAAGATTTATTTTGGTCATCAGACAGAATGTAACACTCTTGGGGAGCAGATTTGCAGAGTGAGGTGGCCCCGTTGTGTCACATCCAGTTTCCAGAAGAGGACTATGCTGCTGCCATATGTGGTGCTGCCTTGGCTTCGGTCTGTGCCCACCATTTCTTACTCCACTTTACAATTTGTGGGTCATATTAGCTCCGTGGCTGCATTCTGAGGATCAAGTAGCAGCAGTGGTTGACTTGTCAGAAGGTTGTATGGCCTTTTCTTGCAGATGCAGCTACTGTCATCCATGCTTTTGCTTAGAGCACTCTACCAGGTCCTTGTTTTTCTGGGCATAGGGAGTGCCCTGGGTGAGTGCATAGGGGCTTGTAGTGTAATAAAACAAAATAAATCAGTAACTGTTTGCCAGGTATTATTATTGTTAGGACCTAGAGCTGGCAAAACAGCCATGGGAATTATTAGAACTGAAAATAACTGCTAACAGAATTTTCAAGGGTTCCTATCTATAAGAGCAGCAGGAAAATGGAACAGACTGCCAAGGGAGGTTGTGGAAGCTCTTTCACTGGAGGTTTTCAAAAGGAGGACGGACAGCCATCTGTCTTGGATGGTTTAGACCAGGGTAGGCAACCAGAATTTTTAAGGGTCTGATTTGGTTCAGTTTGAGGGTAAGAATGAGTTGCTCTGATTTGACCCCCAAGGAAGTCCCAGGTTCAGGAAACAGAGAACCAGATGGCAACGGTAAACACTACCCATTGCCCCCCTCTAGGTTCATCTCTGTGAAGTGGAGGGAATGGAAAAGTTCATGGACAAAGATTTTGCTTTGGATGTCAGCTCCAACCAACCTGTCCTGGTGGCTGTGAAAATGCTGCGAGCAGATGCCAACAAGAATGCCAGGTATTGGGGTCATGTGGAGTTTGATGACTCAGTATGTACCGTGAGCTTGAGCCTCACTCAGAAAAATACACACAGGCCCTGGGTAACAGAAGACTAAGTCCCATTTTCAAAAGCAACTCAAGTCTGCTGTGTTCCCTAGACCCTTTTGAAATGTCATCCTTACACGGTTTAGCAAGGGACACAATGGAGGCAGCAAGGGCTTTGCTCTGAGCATTCCCCTTGCATGGCACAGGGCATTCTGGTGACGCCAAAGACTTACGCCGTATGGAACGATATTTCTTTTTTAAAACTCTAGGGAATTCCATCCGAAAGCAGCATTTTGAGAACTCACTGAGGAGTCAGGAAATGCCAGAGATGGGGTTGCATGTGGCCCCCTTGTGGGGGGGTGTAACTCTGTAGCCTTTCATCACATGGTTATGAGGAGTCCGGTGGCACCTTAAAGACTAACAGATTTATTTGGGCATAAACTTTCATGGGTAAAAAACCCCACTTCTTCAGATGCATGGAGTAAAAAGTACAGATGCAGGCATAAATATACTGACACATGAGGAGAAGTGAGTTACCTTACAAGTGGAGAACCAGTGTTGACAAGGCCAATTCAGTCAGGATGGATGTGGTCCACTCCCAATAATTGAGGACGAGGTGGAAAATTGCTTTTGTAGTGAGCCAGCCACTCCCAGTCCCTGTTCAAGCCCAAATTAATGGTGTTAAATTTGCAACTGAATTGTAGGTCTGCAGTTTCTCTTTGAAGTCTGTTCTTGAAGTTTTTTTTATTGACATATGGCTACTTTTAAAGCTGTTTATTGAATGTCCAGAAAGATTGAATTGTTATTCTACTGGCTTTTGTATGTTACCATTCCTGAAGTCTGATTTGTGTACATTTATTCTTTTACGTAAGTCACCTGTAGTAGGTGACTTCTGGGTACCCGTCTCGCTCTGTCAATCTGTTTCCTCACTTCCCCAGGTGGGTACAGTAGCATAGCTGGGGGGGAGAAGGGGGAGTGGCCACTCCCACTGAGCACATTCCCCAAAGGTGGCACCTTTTTAATTTTACACTCACTCGGGAGCACTTCCCAGCAGGGGCGGCACATCCGGGTCTTTGGCGGCGGATGCTTCAGTCACTCTGGGTCTTCGGTGGCAATTCGGCGGCAGGTTTTTCAGACTTCATCGGCAAGACTTGGGTTTTTCTTTTTTTTTCCTTCGCTGCTTCACAGCGGGTGGTGCCTTTTTTTATTTGTTCGCTTCCCCTGCTGTTAGAACCTGGCTACGCCACTGGGTGGGTATTGTAATTTTATGAATGCTTGATAAAGATCTTGTAAGTGTTTGTCTCTGTCTGAGGGATTGGAACAAATGCGGTTGTATCTTACGGCTTGGCTGTAGACAATGGATCGTGTGATGTGTCCTGGATGGAAGCTGGAGGCATGTAGGTAAGTATAGTGGTCAGTAGGGTACTTTATGTGACCATCACTTATTTGCACTGTAGTGTCCAGGAAGTGGATCTCTTGTGTGGACTGGTCCAGGCTGAGATTGATGGTGGGGCGGAAATTGTTGAAATCCAGGTGGAATTCTTCAAGGGCCTCCTTCCTATGGGTCCATATGAGGAAGATGTCATCAATGTAGCGCAAGTAGAGGAGGGGCACTAGGGGACGAGAGCTGAGGAAGCGTTGTTCTAAGTCAGACATTAAAATGTTGGCATACTATGGGGCCATGTGGGTACCCATAGCAGTGCCACTGACTTGAAGGTGAGGAAACAGATTGACAGAGCGAGACGGGAACCCAGAACTCACCTACTACAGAACAGGCCCAACAAGGAAAATAACAGAACACCACTGGCCATTATGTACAGCCCCCAGCTAAAACCTCTCCAGCACATCATCAACGATCTACAACCTATCCTGGAAAACGATCCCTCACTCTCACAGACCTTGGGAGGTAGGCCAGTCCTCGCTTACAGATAGCCCCCCCAACCTGAAGCAAATACTCACCAGCAACTACACACCACACCACAGAAACACTAATCCAAGAACCAATCCCTGTAAGAAACCCCGTTGCTAACTCTATCCCCATATCTACTTTAGTGACACCATCAGAGGACCCAACCTCATGAGCCACACCATCAGGGTCTCATTCACCTGCACATCTACTAATGCAATATATGCCATCATGTGCCAGCAATGCCCCTCTGCCATGTACTTTGGCCAAACTGGACAGCCTCTATGTAAAAGAATAAATGGACATAAATCAGACATCAGGAATGGTAACATACAAAAGCCAGTAGGAGAACAGTTCAATCTCTCTGGACATTCAATAACAGATTTAAAAGTAGCCATCCTTCAATGAAAAAACTTCAAGAACAGACTTCAAAGAGAAACTGCAGAGCTACAATTCATTTGCAAATTTAACACCATTAATTTGGGCTTGAATAGGGACTGGGAGTGGCTGGCTCACTACAAAAGCAATTTTCCCTCTCTTGTTATTGACACCTCGTCCTCAATTATTGGGAGTGGACCACATCCACCTTGACTGAATTGGCCTTGTCAACACTGGTTCTCCACTTGTAAGGTAATTCACTTTTCCTCATGTGTCAGTATATTTATACCTGCATCTGTAATTTTCACTCCATGCATCTGAAGAAGTGGGGGTTTTTACCCATGAAAGCTTATGCCCAAATAAATCTGTTAGTCTTTAAGGTGTCACCGGAATCCTCATTTTTGTGGAGACAGACTAACATGGCTACCTCTCTGATGCTCATAACCATGTAATCAAGTATCAGTCATTCCTGTTACATCTGCTCCTGAGTATCTGCACCCAGCGCCTGACTCTGGTCCCCCATCTCTGCTGTTCCCTAGCTGCCCATGGTTTGACATTTGCAGGTTTGATTTTTAAAAGACTACACATGTTCAAGTCCACCCCATTGGGCTTCTGCTAAGAGCCCTGCCACCCTCAGCAATAGGTTCTGCTCTCAGTGCCAAGAAGCACGGTCTGGTCAAGTTAGGCCAAGCTCCAAGGAGTTCACAGGCCCCCCAGTTATGGGGGAGGGGGACTGAGTGGCTCATGGCATCCTTGGCCATGTGTCTGTGGGGGCATCTCTGAGTGGCTTGCAGTGCCCCCTGCCACCTGAAGGAGGTCTAATCTAGTTGGGCCAGTGACCTCATTCACTAGAGCAAGTCCCGTATTTTGCATTAAAAAATGGTATTGGATTGAAAGTATGCACCAAAGAGGGACCAATCAACCGCATGGGAAACAGAGGAACTTTTAAAATATTAGCTTTTATTATTATTATTTATCTGACTAGTATGCGGTTGTCACCGCTGCCTTCTACTTTGGAATCAGGACTGCTCAGTTTGCAATCACACCTGTGTCAGAGGCCTTATACAGCAACTGGAGAGTCTCCTTTAGCTCAAGTGGTAGGGGGCTATGCATTTAGAGCAAGCGGACCTGATTGCTGTCCCCATTGTTGCCATGAAATCCCAAGTAGTCATGGGCTTCAACACAGGGAAAGCCAGGTAGTTCTAGGGAGCCACAGGTGTCTGTTACAGTAAAAAATCTGGGGTTATGCAGTGTGAGGTCCCTGCTGCATGCATATGTATCCTACCTAGACCAAAACTCTGTGAAGCTGAACTTAGGGTTGAGAACATGGATCAGCAATTAAAGGGAAAACACAAGAATGTTGTCGTTAATAAAATCAAGAAACTTTTTAGAAAAGAAGTCCAGGAAATTTGCAGGAAATTTCAAAAGCTCCAAAACACTTGGAAGTCTGGAAATGCCCAGTTAAGATACAAACATAACTCTGTCCCTTAGTGAGGCTAACCTCTCTTCTTCCCATCTTTGTCCCTTTCATTCCTACGGCCCGGAAAGGTTTTCTGCCCCAGGCACTTCCATTGTGCAATGAGTTATTTTGGATCACGAGGGCGCTCAGGGCACATATACACAGCAGCTGGAGGTGAAATTCCCAGCTCAGATAGACAGCTACATGCTAGTGTAACCCTTCTGCCCATCTAAGTTGGCAGCAACAAGGGCCGGGTTCTGTATCTAGGGGGTTCCGTTTCAATAACGCAA